GTCCCCACCCGTCCTGTGTCAGTGCACAATGCTCAGCAGCACTTGTAACTCCTCAGCTACTGAATGCAGTCTATTTCCAAACACAGCAAGACCCGCACAATGTCCAAGAGCAGGCTGGCAAGTGGTAAGTAACATTCGAACCACAAAGATGACAGACAAAAACCACTAAGATCATCCCTCAACAGTCAATGTTACCATCGCTGAATCCCCCACTATCAACATCCTGGGGGTTATCACTGATCAGCAACCAAACCGGACGCAGCCCCATATAAACACAGGCGCTACAGGAGCAGGTCAGAGGCTGGGAATCCTGCAGCGAATAACTCCTGTCCTGACTACACCATCCAATTTTGGTGCCATGTGCACACTAACTAACCATCCCTCCTACGTTCACATCCAAATCATTTCTATAAGTGACAAAAAGCAGTGGGTGCCAGCACCAATCCTTATGGCACACTAGCTGGTCACAGGCCTCCTCTCTGAAAAGCAACCCTCCACCACCATCGATTTCTGAAGAAGGGTCTCGGCCCGAAATGTCAGCTTTCCTGCTGCTCTGATGCTGCTTGGCCTGCTGTGTTCATCCAGCTCTACACCTTGTTATCTCAGATTCTCCAGCATCGGCAGTTCCTACTATCCCTCCATCACTATCACCCTCTTATCTCCTATCTTCAATCCAATTTTGTATCCAAATGGCTAGCCCTCCCTGGACTCTGTGCGATCTAACTTTGCTAACCAATCTATCTGAAAACAGTCACCACGGGGAAAGGGGCTAGGAGAAATATTGGGCCTAAATTTAGGCTGACAAGTGGCCAGGAACAGATGACCTGCATCCAAAGGTCTTAAAAAGGTAGTACAGGCACACAGACAGCAGATACACTGATTATAGACTCCCAAAATTCCTCAGACTCTGGAAGAGTCCCAACGGATGGAAAACAGCAGATGTGAGATCTTCATCCAAGGAAGGAAGGCAGGAAACAGCAGAGCATTAGCCTAAGTGTTGTCACAGGACAGATAATAGAATGCTTTGCAAAGGAGGTGACACTTAGAAAATCTCAATGCAAGCCGGCAGAAAGGGAAGCCTCATTTCGTTCACCTTCAGGCTTCTCACAGGGCAAATGCGGAGAGGATGTTTCCCCTCATGGGGGTGGGATCTGGGACCAGAGGGCATAGTCTCAGAATAAAAGGGCACCGATTTAAGACTGAGAATGAGGAAGAATTTCTTCTCTCAGAAGGTTGAGAGCCTTTGGTACTCCGTGCCACAAAGAGCTGTGGGGGACAGAGTCCTTGTGTCTATTTAAGGCTGAGATAGAAAGATTCCTGATCGGTAGGAACTCGAGGGTTACAGGGAAAGGGCAGGAAAGTAGGAGTGAGGAATGTCAGATCAGCCTGATCCTATTTCATGGCAGACAGGGTCAAGAGGCTGAATGGCCTACACATCGTCCTATTTCCTAAGCTCTTAAACTCTACTGAAGATATTGAGAAAGTTATTGGCAAGACTTGGACAATACCCAGGCTTGGGCTGACAAGTAACATTCACACCACACAAATGCCAGGCTATGCCCATCTCCAACAAGTGAGAGTCTAAGCATCACTGTCCCCTTAATATTCAATGGTGTTACCATCACTGAATTCCAAACCCACCCCCCTCCCGCCCCCCGCCAAAACATCCTGGGGGTTACCATTGACCAGAAACTGACCCGGACTCAGCCCCATATAAACACAGGGGCTACAGAAGCAGGTCAGAAGCTGGGAATCCTGCAGCGAGTAACTCCCTTCCTGACTCCCTCCCCCTGCCAAAAAAGCCTGTCCTACCATCGACAAGGCAGGAGTATGAGGGAATACTCCCCACTTGCCCCTGGATGGGGGCAGCTCCGACAACACTAGAGAAGCTCGACACCATCCAAGGACAAAACAGCCCCCCCCCACCCCTAAACCCCACTCGATGGACACCACATCCACATCCACAAACACCACCCCTCCACCACTGACGCTCAGTCACAGCAGTGTGTACCATCTACAAGATGCCCTGCAGAAACTCACCGAGGCTTCCAAACCCCCATGGCCACTTCCATCCAAAGGACAAGGGGCAGCAGGTACATGGGAACACAAGCCCACCACCCACCCCCCCCCCCACCCCCGACCACTTCAAGCCACTCCCCATCCCGACTTGGAAATATCTCGGCCGTTCCTTCAGCGTGGCTGGGTCCGAATCCCTGGAATTCCCTCACTAAGGGACACGGTGGGTCTAACTTACAGCACGTGGACTGCAGCGGTTCAAGAAGGCAGTTCACCCCCACCTTCTCAAGGGGTGGGGGGCAACTAGGGATGGGGTGATAAATGCTGGGCCCAGCAACTTGTAACCCTTTGATCTTATTGCCTGCTCCTCAGAGCTTGCTTTCAGATTTTTTTATATGCTCACCCAATTTGGAAACAATAAGGATATCCTTCAACCAATCATTAATACATACGTAAAGTAGGTGAGGCCCTGGTTCCAGTTTCTGCAACTGGTAAATGCTGGGCCCAGACAGTGATAGCCACATCCCACGCGTGAATGGAGCAAGAGAAAGGGGCACAAGATTGAAGGGTGATAAATACAAAATGACTACTTAAAAAGGCAGGAATAAAACTGTAATTTATGGACTGAGCAGCCCATCATCATTAGCAGGGAAGTTGCTGGAGTGTGTTACAAAGGACATGATAGCAAGATACTGAGACAATACCAACAGGATCAGACAAAGTCAGCGAGGATTTCTGAAAGGGAAATTGTGCTTGACAAACCTACTGGATTTTTTTTTTGAGGATGCAACTAGATGAGGGGGAAAACAGTGGACTTGGTGTTTTTGGATACTCTGAAAAAGCTTTTGATAAATTCCCACACAAAACGAAAGCATATGGGATTGGTGGCAGTATACTGGCCTTGGTTGAGAGCTGGTTAGTGGACAGGGAACGAGACAGGAGCAATGAATGGGTATTTGCAGAATGGAAGTAGGTGATAAGCTGGGTACTGTGGGCATCAGTGTTTGAGCCCCAGCGATGTGCAGCGTACATCAACAATTTGGAGGGGGGAAATCAAGTGTAACATGCAACCTAACAGCTATAACGGAGAGGCTAGAAAAACTCGGGTTGTTTTCTCTGGAGCGGCGGAGCAGAGAGTTGATAGAAGTCTATAGAATTATGAGATACACAGATCGGGTTGACGGTCAGATCATTTTCCCCAAATTGAAATGTGTAATATTACAGGGCATGCATTTAAGGTGAGAGGGGGAAGTTCAAAGGAGAGGCAAGGGGCAGGGGTTATTTTAAACACAGAGTGGTAGGAAACAGGACCGTATTACTAGGGGTTGGTGGTAGGGGAGACAGATACGAGAGGGGCATTTAAGGGGTTTTTAGATAAGCGCATGAATACACAAGGAACAGAGGGATGTGGACTTCGGGCAGGCAGATGGGAATTAGTTTAATTTGGCATCATTTCGGCACAATGTGGTGGTAAATAGAGCCACGGCAAGGAAGTTCAAGGCAATAGAGACAATGTGAGGGAGTGGGCAAATACATGACAGATGCAGTTTAGTGTCACTAAGTGCAAAATTGTTTACTTTGGTAGGAGAGGCAGAATGACAGTATATTTGGGATACTGCGTACAGTTCTGGTTTCCCCGCTATAGGAAGGATGTTATTAAACCGGAAAGGGTGCAAAAAGAATTTACAACGATGTTGCCGAGACAGGAGAGTTTGAGCTACAGGGAGAGGCTGGGGCTATTTTCCCTGGAGCATCAGAGGCTGAGGGGTGACCTTATAGAGGTTTGTAATATCATGAGGGCACACATGAGGTTAATAACCAAGGTTTTTCCTGCAGGGTAGAGGAGTCCAAAACTAGAGGTATAGAATCCCTACAGAGTGGAAGCAGGCCATTCAGCGTCTCCACACAGCATTCCTCCAAGACGCACCCCCCTACCCTATCCCTGTAACCCTGCAATTCCCATGACTAACGCACCTCGCCTACACATCCCTGAACACTACGGGCAATTTAGCATGGCCAATCCACCCTAAACTGCACACCTGTGTACTGTGGCAGGAAACCCACGCAGACACGGGGAGAACGTGCAAACTCCAGACACACACACACACACACACACACACACACAGTCGCCCGAGGCTGGAATCGAACCCGGGTCCCTGGTGCTGTAAGGTAACCACCGTGCCGCGCTGGTTTAAGGTGAGAAGGGGAAGATTTAAAAGGGACCCGATAGGCAACTTTTTTTTCACACAGAGGGTGGTGCATGTATGGAACGAGCTGGCACAGGAAGTGGTGGATGTGGGTACAGTTGCAACATTTGTACAGGTACATGGATAGGAAGGGTTTAGGGGCATATGAGCCAAATGGGACTAGTTCAGTTTGGGAAACCTGGTCAGCATGGACAAGTTGAGCCGAAGGGTCCGTTTCTGTGCTGCATGACTGTACTTGAACACTGACGTACAAAGGGATCTGGGTGTACACTGGTCAGTGAAAGTAAGCATGCAGTTAGGAAGCTCAACAGTGCGATGGCCTTCATTGCAAGAGAGTTGGAGCACAGCAGCAAGGAGGTCTTACTGGTAAAACCAGAACCTGGTGTGGTGGGAGCAGTTTTGGTCTCACTCCCTGGAAGAAAGCTTGCTGTAAAGGTTGACTAGACTGATCTGTCGTATGAGAGGAGATGGGTTTGACTGGCCTGTATGCATTGGAGTTTAGAAGGTTGAGAGTGGTATCTGTTTGAAATGTATAAAATTCTAACAGGGATGGCTAGATACAGTTGGGCTGCCTGGAACCAGAGACAAGTCGCTGATGTATTTCAGAAAAAAAAAATAGACTTCTAGAGGTTAAAGATCTCAAGGAGTTGTGGGGAGAGCGCAGGATCATAGCGTTGAGATGGTGTATCAGACTGAATGGTGGAGCAGGCTTGGTGGACCAAATGACCTACTCCTGCTCCATTCACTCGTGGGACTGGGCATCACTGGCTGGGCCCAGCATTTATCGCCCCGATCCTAGTTGCCCCCCTCTATTGAGAAGGTGGGGTGAGCTACCTTCTTGAACCGCTGTAGTCCACGTGCTGTAGGGCAGATCCACAGTGTCCCTTAGGGAGGGAATTCCAGGGATTCGGACCCAGCCACACTGAAGGAAGGGCCGATATATTTCTAAGTCGGGATGGCTTGCTACATTACTTTGAACGGGAATCTGTGGTAGTACCGTATTGGATTTCCAAAACTCCCTTGATAAGGTGACACATCAAGATTTACAGGACAGAAGCATGCAGTGCGGGAAGGTAAGCAGGGATAAAGGACTGGTTCGGTAGCTGGAGGCAGACAGGAGGAGGAAATGGGTCTTTTTCAGGTGGGTGAGCTGTAAGTAGCACAGGAGGTTTAGTGTTTCTCGAATCGCTCTATCTCCTCATGCACAGCGTCTGGAATACACAGCCTGGGAGGCTGGTTAAGGCAGGAAACTTCATAACCTATAAAAAAAGGGCTCTTGAATTGTCATAACATTCAAGGCTATGGGCTCAGTGCGGGAGAGTGGGACTGATGTAGATTTAGAGTGGTTTTTGTTTTAAAATCGGTGAAGATTCATTGATTCAGAATCATACACAGCACGGCAACAGGCCCTTCAGTCCAACCCGTCCATGCTGACCAGGTTTCCCAAACAAAACAAGTCCCATTAGCCAGCATTTGGCACATATCCCTCTAAACCCTTCCTATTCATGCACTCATCCAGATGCCTTCTAAATGTTGTAATTGTACCAGCCTCCACCACTTCCTCTGGCAGCTCGTTTCATACACGCACCACCCTCTGTGTGAAAATGTTGCCCCTCAGGTCCCTTTTAAATCTTTATCCTCTCACCTTAAACCTATGCCCCTCTAGTCTGGGACTCCCCTACCCTGGGGGCAAAGACCTTGTCTATTCACCCTATCCATGTCCCTCATATTTTTATACACCTCTAACAGGTCACACCTCAACCTCTCACAC